AGAGAGAGAGAGAGAGAGAAAGAGAGAAGAGTTTCCTCCGTCACTGTAGGATCAGCACTGGACTTGACTTTGAGTCCCAAGCCACTAGCTTCTCCTCAGAAATCCTATATAGGGTTGTTATGTGTTAGAACCAAATCAATGGCATTCAACAACAACAACATATATTTGAAGGTCTGGTATAGTAGTGAGTTACAAGTCAGGCTGCTAACTGCAAGGCCAGCAGTTTGAAACTACCAGCCACTTTGCAGGAGAAAGGTGACCATTTCTGCTCCAGTAAAGATTTATATCGTAGAAAACCCTATCTATACAGGGTCACTAGTCAGAACTGCTCCAGTGTGGTACCTCCATAGAATAAGTTGTAGAATGCAAACTATCACTGGTTTGAGCTAACCAATGTTCCTTAGAAGAAAGATGAGGCTTTCTGCCCTTGCAACAGATTTCAAAGTCTCAGAAACCCTATACAGGGTCTCAATGAGTCATTATATATATATATAACATTACATATAATATATATATTCAAGTGAAGATTTCAAGCATTGCAGTTCAATTATATAATTGAATATTATATAATTATATAAAATATAATTTGACGACATATATTGTTTTGCTATTAGTTTCAGTTGAGTCAATCATGACTCTCAGTGATCTCATGTGTGCAGAACTGCTCCATAAGGTTTTCAAAGAAGCTCTCATAGTGTAGTGGTTACAAATCGGGCTACTAACCTCAAGGTCAGTAGTTCGAAACAACCAGCTGTTCCACAGAAGAAGGATGAGACTTTCTGCTTCTGTGAAGATTTACAGCCTCGGAAACACTATTAATGGTCACTATGAGTCAGAACCAGCTCCACAGCACACCACCACCACCTTTTAGAAGCAGATTGCCTGGCATGTCTTCCAAGACATCTCTGCTGGGTTCAAACCACCAACATTTCATTTGGTAATAAAGCTATTAACCAAGTCACATTACCCAAGGATATATATACCTTAACATTGTGCCTAACATATAAAATTTCTTGCTTACCCAAGGATATATATACCTTAACATTGTGCCTAACATATAAAATTTCTTGCTAAGTGCCGTTGAGTTGGTTTTGACTCTTAGTTATCCTGCATAGGGTTTCCAAGGAGCAGCTGGTGAGCTTGACTGCCGACCTTCAAGTTCAAACTGACCTTACAGTTCAGCACATTAACTCACAGTGCCACACCAGAACTGCAACATATGAAAAGTGCCCAATAAAAGCAAGCAGCATCTTCTATGGCTATTATTTCTCTTGCTCAGTTTCTTCAGCATATGATAACAATTTCCCCTTCCTACTATCTCTAGTACGTCCTAATACTTCTTACATCTGAATTATAACATGAATAGAAGCAAGATAGGCCAACTTGGAACCAATAATGCAAGAAGGGAGCTGGAAAGTTTGGAGAGAACCAACACTCTCTGTGACTTGGAAATGGATGCTAAATTAACAATTAAATATGTGAAAGTATAAAGGTAAAAATCAGAGGACAGCTCTATGGAAGAGATTAGTTTTCAATAAATCAGAAGAGAAAACCAATTATTGCTGATAGAAAACTAACAAAACTGTTCCTTTCAGTTTCTTTAAATATGAGTAAGGTGTTTTGTTTTATTTCTTTAAGGCAGAATCTAAACCTTGTGTTATGGAAATATAATGATTATCACTTCTAAAGTTACATGAAAACTGAAGTCAAAGAAAGCATCATCATCTTGATAAAGACTTCAATTAAAAGTAGATTTTAGTCTCTTTTCAGTTTCAGATTGAAATCCTGTGTCATTGGGAAATTACACCATTTACCAGTTCTGGGACCACTAATTTCTATCAAAGGGCAATGCTTTTCTGACACAATCTCTTTCTCAAACCACTCAATTTATCACAACCTAGAGAAGAATGGATACAAGAAATCATTCTTTGGTTAATGAATTTATGCTTCAGGGGTTAACAGATAAACCAGTGCTCCAACTCCCCCTCTTCTTCCTGTTCCTTTTTATCTACATTGTCTCCATGGCAGGAAACTTGGGCTTGGTTTTTTTAATCAGGATCAGTTCTCAGCTTCAGACCCCCATGTATTATTTTCTCAGTAATTTGTCTTTTATAGATCTATGTTACTCTTCTGTCATAATCCCCAAGATGTTGGTGAATTTTGTGTCAGAAAAGAATTTTACTACCTTTCCTGAGTGTATGACCCAGCTCTTTTTCTTCTGCTTCTTTGGTATTGATGACTCTTATATGCTCACAGCTATGGCTTATGATCGCTATGTTGCAATCTGTAACCCCTTGCTCTACAATGTAACCATGTCCCATAGAGTCTGTTTTCTGCTTGCAACTGGTGTGTATATAGTGGGAGCTTTTGGGGCTTTGGTTCACACCAGCTACATATCTAGTCTTTCCTTCTGTGGAACAAATGTTATCCGCCATTATTTCTGTGACATCCTTCCTCTTCTGAATATCTCTTGCTCAAGAGACTACACCAAGGAGCTTTTGGTGATGATTTTGGTTTCATTCAATGTATTCACCTGTGCTATAGCTATCTTAATCTCTTATGCCTTCATCCTTTCCAGCATCCTACATATCCACTCAGCTGAAGGCAGGTCCAAAGCCTTTAGTACCTGCAGCTCCCACCTTGCAGCTGTTGGAGTCTTTTATGGCTCCATCATCTTCATGTATTTCAAGCCACAATCTGTCAGTGACAGAACCCAAGAGAAGGTAGCCTCTGTCTTTTATACAACAGTGATTCCCATGCTCAATCCTTTGATCTACAGCCTCAGGAACAAGGATGTCAAAGAAGCACTAAAAAAGGTTCTGAATGATGGGATACGTTCCAGGTCTGTGTAGAAAACACACTGCTAATATTTGTGATCATCTAAACTTACATTTATGATGGTTTGTGAGTGATTAATTAGATTCAAGTCCAGTCATAATAACGTGGAGTTCAATGTCTGTACTATTTATTTTGATGGTTCTTATTTCCTCATCTGCTGCCCCCACTTACTAAGAACAGATCCCTTCCAGTCTCCCTAATCTCTCAGTCAGCAATGGAATTTTCATTACATCTGCCTCCTTTCTTACCTACTGTCTTAAATTTAGGTGGATTTTTTCTTTCTTTTCTTTTTTTTCCCCCTTTCCTTGTTTTTTTCTTTCTTGTTATTTTACCTTGAACCCTTCCTTTGTGCAATTAATTTTTAAATGAAAATTCTTGATCAAACATAAATTAAATTTTTTAAGATCTAATATTGGCATGAACATGTAAATTCCCCCAGAAATATTTGCATTATAATACATGCCAGGGTTCTGAAATGAACCAACAATGCTAAATGTTAAAGAAAATTTAATTTCTATTATATCATAAAACATAGTATCTTTATATCAAAAGATTTTCAAATATTGTCATAACCATTGGCAATCAGATCTATCTTGAATAAGTCTGAAACAAAGTGAATACGGAGGTACAGACTAACTGAAAAAAAAAAAAAAAAACAACGATTTTTAATACTTGCTATAATTTCATTTTTTTAAGAAAAAAAAAACTTGTTATGTCCTTTGACAAACATTTCATCTTGTAAGTGGAGTCTCAAGATCATTTCCTCCATGAGAATTGTTCTTAATTGCCTAGTATCTATTATGTAATTATTCAGAATAAACTTTAATCTTCATTCCATTCAATAATTTAATAAATAGTTATTGAGTAGCTGTGTGCCAGTCAGTGCTCAAGATGCTGTGAATATAGTAATGAGAAAAAACAAATAAAAATCTCTGGTAGCAAAAAAATGAAGATATGAATGACTTCAAAATCTTCATGGAAAAGTCCACTACATTTTTGAGCCCCCCACCCCCTTTTATGTTACAGACAAAGGTTATAAGTGCTACAGAATAAACAAAATCAGAGAGGAGGACCTAGGTGCCAAGAAAGCAGAGGTTTGTCTCTAAACATACATATCAGGTGTTAAGAAAGCTGATATCTGAATAGACATTTGGGGCATATGAGGCTCAAACTACATGATTGTCTGAAAGAAGAAAATTTCTGACCAAAAAGTAGCTAATGCTATCTCTAAAGCAGGAGCAAATGGTGTCACTGAAGTCCGTTACATTTAAGGAACAGAAAGCTAGTAAATTCACTTAGTCCAGACAGGCAAGGGGCAGGGTGATAGGTGGTGGTGATGTTGGGAGGATAGTTGGGTGAGGTGGCACTTTTTCCTAATGGGAAATTTCAACAGGTGTAATTGTTACTATACATGAAAAGGGAAGTCATTGGAGATGTGTCAAATGTACACTTAGCTTCCTATGAAGGGACTCCTAAACTTGTTGCTACTTAGTCAATTCTGTTTAATAGTGACCTTATAGTTGTTGTTAAGTGCCACCTAGTTGGTTCCAATTCATAATGACCTTGTATAGGGTTTCCAAGAAACAGCTGGTGGGTTTGAACTGTTGACTTTGTAGTTCACAGTCCAGTGTTGTTAGGACAGAGTAGAATTTCCTTATAGTGTTTCCAAGACTGTACATTTTAATGGAAGCAGTCTGCAACCTTTTTCTCACAATGAGCAGCTGGTGGAATTGAACTGTCCACGTTTTGATTTAACAATTGCAACACTACAGCTCATTGAAGGAACTCTTAACTGGTCATAATTAGGACAATCAGAGCATCAAAATAAATATTAAGATGACTTACAAGATTTCATGAAACTACACTAAAATAATATTAAGAAAGAAAACAAGGAAAACACAAACTCAAAATATCATGCCACATATTACTTATTAATAATAAAGGTAAAATAGGTGCTATTAAAATGTTAACCTTCAGTGAAAACTACCTAAAACAAATTGCTAAACTTAATCATTAGCAATGTCACACAATGGCACCATGTGCCTTGATGTGACACAATATCACCATGTGCAAGAAAAAGAATGCTTAACTTGAGTCTAATGATAAGCAAAATATAACACAACCCCCCAAATGAGGAAAATCTGCAAAACAACTAACAATGATTCTTTTGAATGTCAATGTCACAAAAGATAGAAAATATCAGAGAATAATACTAGATTAATATAGACTACGGCAGGGCAAGGAACATCATTCATGGGCCATGCTAAATTGTCAGCTTAAAAATCACATTTAATTAACTCTCCCCTAATGTGATGGCTGGCATGGCGCTGTGGGTTAATGCACTGGACTTCAATGTCAGTTGGACTACAAGGTTGGTGGTTCAACTTCACTAGCTGTTCCTCAGAAACCCTATACAGGGTCTCTAGGGGTCAGAACTGATTTGATGGTACTTAACAATAACAACAATGTGATGGCTGGAATTGCACTGCTTGGCTGAGTTGGATCAAATGATGTTGCAGGTCTTATATGGCCAGTGGGACAGATGTTCCTCACTCCTGGACTAAGGGGACATAATCACTAAATGTCATAACTGAATTGAATCCTAGATTATAAAACAAAAACTAAATGAAAACTGACACATTATGAGCAAGTGAAAAAAGTTGGAATGTGAATTGTGTATAATTACATTCAATTATACAATTGCACTAATGTTAAATTTACTGAGTCTAGTAATTGTACAGTGGTTATGTAGAAGAATATCTTTATTCTTAGAAGATAGTGTGCTGAAGTATTTAGGCATAAAATGTCATGATGTCTGTAACCATCTCTAAAATGCCTATGTAAATCTTGATCTAAACCTAACAATTTTTACAAATGTTAAACCAAAATGAATAATATATATTCAAATGGAGAACAACATTATAAAACTTTTAGTGGAAACTATAGGTAAAATTCTTTAAGATCTCAGGCTAAGTAACAGGTTTTTGGACATAATACCAGAAGCACAGTACATAATAAAAATTAATAACACTTCATAAAAATCTAAACTTTTGTTTTGTGAAAGACCTGTTAAGAGGTGAAAACAGTAAGCTACAGATGGACAGAATATAATAATAAATCATGTTTTTCAATAGATTTATATCCAGAATATATAAAGAATTCTCAGAATGAAGTAGTTTTTTAAAAAATTGAAACTACCAAAGATAAAAAGAAGCTAAGATACATTTTGCCTAAAAAGTACAATGATGACTAATAATTGCACTCCTGATCCTTTATTCCAGAGTAGTGAGGAAACCTGGACACAAATGTTCATACAAGATTTACTAATAATAGGGAAAGGCTGGGAATACACAAAATGGTCAATGGTTAAACAAGCCATAGCATATCCATACAATGAATCCTCCTTGACAATAAAAAGGAATGGATTATTTATAGATCCAACAGCAGGGTATTATGCTGTTATTCTGTAGGATTATGCTAGACTGCAAGGACAGCTTGAACCTGCAGTGGTCCAAACCAGAATCTGGTCCTCAGAAACCCTATGCAGTGTTGATATGAGTCAGAACTGACTCTAATGAACTTGACAAACACACTGAGAAGTAAAAGAACCAAGGGAAATATAAAAACATTCTCCAAAGTATGATTTCATATATATAACATTCTTGAAATAACAAAATTATAGAGCTAGGGTAAAGAAGAGTAGTTGTCAAGGTAGATTGGGGCATGGGTGTGCACCTGTAAAAAGGTAGAACAAGGAGCATTTTATCTGGTGATGTAACTATTATGCATCTTGATTGTGGTTAAAGAAATCTACACATGTTGATAAAATGGCACAGAATGATTCATAAGAGAAGAATAGCAGAATAACTATGGCAGAAGGTAAAACTGATCATTTAGAAACTAACTCATGCATTTCCCTCCAACACATCTCAGATAAAAACATGGCTTGGTAAATATTAAAAGAAAGCAAAGATCCAAGAATACATTCCATGCGATGTAACATATTTCTAAAATAAGTTACAGAAATAATGGAAGTGGAATATAGAGGTGGAAAATAACTAAGAAAAGAAAAACAATGCTAGAAGGAAACACGCATGATTGAAAACATGAATATTTAAAGAAAACTTGAAGTTTTGAAGGGGTCATCAGTAACACAATTAGTCATGAGCTCAAAAATAATAAAAACATTATCCATATCTCCAGAAAGAACATGCTGTCTACCTAGAAATGAGAATTAGACTGGCATCAAACTTCTCCTAGCAATACAATGACAAATTAGTCAATATGGCAAATGCTACAAAGTTCTAATGAAATGTATGCTAAATGCAGGGTTTCCTTAGCAGCCCAACTATTATCAGAAAGTATGTTCTCTGAATATAACACACTAAAGTATATAATAAAATAAAACCTTTGAACAATTCTTTAGATTAGAAGAAAATGAAATGAAAGTTCATAGATGATACAGAAAGCATTTTTTAAAAAAATGTAATAACTACAGATATAACCACAACCTTAAAACTTTATTACACTATGCAAGCTTGTATAAATTAAATATTCAACTTCAGAAAAAAGAAAATCAGCAAGATAAAAATGTAACTAAATAAAAATAAAATCAGGAAGTGACCAATTAGAAATTTAAATGGAATAGTCTTGATAAATATGATAAATTGTGTGTTCTTTATAAAATAACAAAGCTCAGGCAGAAATTTCCAAGGAAAAATGTAGGTAGATAGCTATAGGAATCAGAAAGACAATATAATTACAGATACAATAAAGAACAAAAAAATGCATGAGGGTATACTACCTACATAAATAAATTTGAGGAAAGAATGGGAGAGCTCATAGGTGAGACCAGGGTCTTCATGACAAATGCAGATTGGCTAGCTGTGCTCTGCTCATTTAGCTGGAAGGAGTACTGTGAAAAGTCAGAGGAAAGAGGTGTGGGAAGCTCTCAGCAGTTATTTGAGCCTAAGCCAGTGAATTTGCTGCCCATAAGGTTGCTATGAGTTGGTAC